AGTGAATAACTGCCATCAGGACTTACTGTGAGGGTAGGCAATATAGAGGTAGATGTTTTTTTGACTAAAGGAGGAGAGTGATTGATTTTGCAGTCTAGAAGCGGAGGTTCCTGGGACCATTAAGTGAGAAGAGTGGAGAGCGGCACCCTACCCGGAGAGACAGTGGCACCAGGGATGGAGACAGAGACGATGATGTGGACAGATGGAGCGGCTGGGGACACTGAACTCAGGGAGAGAGAGGGGCTGTGTGATGATGGCCGGGGGGTGGGCCTGTGGGGTGTACCCTTTGGATATTAGATGATGCATGGAGGGGACTGTAATCATTCCAATGAAACAAAGTAAGATAGGATGAATATTAAACTGATATTCTTCCATTTAAACCTCACAATAAAAACATATATATATAAAAAAAGATAATGGACTTTTTTTCACAAATATTTTAAAGTTCCCTTGTGGATCAGAGTTTTAATCATTTATATACAGTATTTATCTAACACAAAGAAGCACATAGGTGTATTCTTTAGTGAAAATATTTCTACACATATCTGGAAATAAACAGGGAAAATACTGGTTTAAATATAAATGGTATTTATCTTGTTCCCTGCCCTGAAATCTTACTAAAAGGGAATGAGGCCAAAAAGGCAAAGGATATGCAGAAACACAAGTATATCTGGACCTTAAATTACTAGCAGAAAAAAATATTTTTATACTTTTAATCTTCGAGATCTGATATAAGCACACACACACCTACCTGTCCATCTACTAAAGCCGTAAGTGGAAGATAATCAAATAGATCTGTAAAATATTTCCAAACATTGGCATTTCCATATTTTCGCAGACATTCATCATAAAAGCCATATACTTGGGTAATTTGTCGGCTTTCGTGGTTTCCTCTCAAAATTGTAATGCGTTCTGGATACCGCACCTGGAAAAAAGGCAACAGAAATTCATGATACAACCATACCCTCACTTGGGTTAAGTGTATGAACCTCTAGCCCATTTATTTTAAGTGGCTTCTTTGTCCATCAATAAATTGTTTTTCAGAGTAAAACATTTTCTCTTTCTTGCTCTCAGCTAACTAACAACTAACCCCTAATGATTAACCTTTGAAACTAACCCCTAATGATTAACCTTTGAAAGTTTGTACACTCATCCTTTATTATTTATACTACCTGCATTGGAATCCCAATTAATTTAATCTTACATTATTCTAAGGAGACCTGGTGATGTTGTGGATTATGCATTAGACTGCTAACTGCAAAGTACACAGTTCAAACATACCAGCTGCTCCCTAAGAGAAAGATGAGCTTGTCTGTTCCCATAAACATTTAGTCTCAGAAACCATATTAAGGGCTGCAATAAGTCAAAAGAATTGGACAGTTTTTCTTTGTTTTGGGGGGGGGGAGTGAGGTGGGGAGGCTAGTAATGCTTCTGATTCTTTGTTATCCTCTTAATCTTCAGACTGTCACTACTACTATAAATTTTTCCAGAACACCTTGACTATGTATTGTTGTTGTTTATGTGCTGTGGAGTCAGTTCTGACTCATAGTGACCCTGTTCAGGGTTTCTGAGGCTGTAAATCTTTACGGGAGCAGAAATCCTCATCTTTCTCCTGCGGAACAGCTGGTAGTTTAGAACTGCTGACCTTAAGCTTCGCAGCCTGATCTATAACCACTACGCTACCAGAACTCCTTAAGTGACTGGATACTGAAGATCAGAAATATGGACCAGAGAACAAGTACCTTACAGTCTAATTTCTTCCCCTATTCAACTGTTACTTCTCACCAGAAGACTATAGTTGGCAACAAAATACAAAACAGACCCTTACCAAGGGCCTCTGGCAAGGTTTCCTATATATTAATAGTCTTCCTTTCGATGACAAAATATAGCAAAATGTTATATAGTAACAATGTGCCTGATAAGAAATACGAAAAGGAATTAGATTTTGTAAATTAACCTATGTTGTTGTTAAGTGCCATCGAGTCGGGTCCGACCCATAGCGACCCTGTACAGGGTTTCCAAGGGTGTAAATCTTTACGGGAGTAGAAAGCCTCATCTTT